GTTGCTGTAATCTCGTCAAAACAAAAATATTCTGTTTGGCTGTGTTTTGTTGTGCTTAGTTTCCAAGCTGCAGTAAACATTCTGATCGGGACTGGAATTCAGGTCAATTTTTCGGAGATATTGTCCTTTTAAAATCTCTTCCAGGCCTCAGGAATTAAGAATGTCGATGTTGGTGCATACGGGTGACTCGTTTTTGAGCTATAAACGTACATACAGACACAATTTAAGTTTTCTCTATAACTTATTTAGGCTACTTGAGGTAATAACGGATTAAAACTGGGATATTATCTACACTCGTAGTGGCCTCGTTGCATTTGATAACTCAGGTCCTTATAGACATTCTCTTTCAGAGTTTGAATCTTTGAAGAGCGGGTATTTTAGGTGTATTAAGAATCATGTTCAAATACAGATTTGTTTATTCGGCCATATTTATGAGTGAGTCACCGCCTTTGGTGCACTGAAAAATTTTGCTTCGATTTCGGCTACATTCTAAAATAGAAAACGACGTTTCGGAGATGGGGCTCTATCTCCGAAACGTCGTTTTCTATTTTATTATTCCTTAGACGATGGAAAATATCCAAGAAAATATTTGATTCAAATGACTCACCGTCGTCACGAACTTTTAGATTTGATATACAATCTAAAAGCCGTCGATATCTTGACAAATAATACAGATATTTGTGAACCTAAGCAAAGCAAAACTGCCCAGGTTTAATTAATTTTAATTATGGAAGGCGATGAGAGACAATGACCGTGGCTAGCACCGTTACTCATCGAAACAAAGGGCCCGAACAACTCAATTCATTCCAGATTTAATAACTCGATTCACAACAAAGGTGTCCGCTTATCGATATGCGCCATCTTTCGCATCGTCATGCCCCATCATTGCGTGTACAGATCGTTCCAAAAAAGTTGTCTTAGGTGCGTTAGAATGTCTTCAACTTAACGATGAACTAAAACGTCCTAATATGAAGTGTCTTTGGAAACAAAAGACACATATTTGTTGCATTTTAAGAGAAATGTGGTAAGGAGGGTATGTATGTATGAATTAATGGGAGAATGAATGATATAACCCCTTCATCTTTACTTCTTATCTAACATGGAGGCGATAAATTTATCCTGCAACACGATAACCACCTACATGTCTATGGATCCATGAGGCAGACCATGAGCTACGGGATTTTGAAGGCAAGGTTATCTCAAAAGACCTAGGGTTCGCAAGGTCCCCAGATTCAATCCCTCCAGATTTTTTTCCTCTCGAGGCTGTCGAAGGGAATAAGTCACATCATCGACGACAAAGAAGACAGGAAATTGAAGCCATTCCTACAATATGTAACGTCGCCTCCAGTTGTGTACGTGTGCCTGGACGACCACGTTTAGAATCTTATGTGACCAGTAACAATTTCACAAAGAATATGAGCTTACGATATTTAATCAACATTCGTTATAAATTTGTTTAAATCTTGTCAGTCTAATCACAATATATATATTTAAACAAATATATATTTATCACAATATGACGCAACTTTATCATCTCATTCGTTATAAATAATGATTTTATTGCTGAAAATTTGAAGCCTCTAACGAGATTATTAACTCTGTTAGTAAGCAAAGTAAAAAAGTTAAATGTTGTCTCTTTCATTTTTGTCTTTCAAAGTCTAGATGACAACGTTAATATTCAGATACCACGTGGCTGTCGTGGACTTAACAATGTATGATACGGAGGTAAAAATATAAATTTATCTTTTATTTTCTTTCTATACAGGTCTGTTGTGAATGTAGGCCTATTATGAGTAACTTGAGGAAATGTTACAAATTAGACATTGCGCGTATTGAACTGGCGAGCACATAAGAATTTCCTTATTTTTCAGTGTGACTTCAGATTGAGAAAGAACTTCTCGCATATATTTTTGGACAACCTGTATCCGACATTTGAAACGACAGTTTACTTTCCCTGTTATGCGCTCTTCAGAAATAATTTTTTTTCTTGTTTTTCTTTGAGTTTCCGTTTACAAGGTAGCTTATGTAGATTTATGTCTAAATATTTTTGCCTGGGATTCAAATCCATTCCATATCTCACGAACGATGGATGTGAGAAATAAATTCCTTCTTGGTGGACTGGCTGATATCCGGACACATGTTAATTTGCATGTGCATTTTTTGTTTTTGTTTTATCCTTAATACAGTACCATGAAAAATGTATTGAATATATTCAATGATAAAAATGTGTACGTCGTATATACTGTTACCTGTCGTGCAATTACATTTAAATCTCCAGTTTAACTGGCTGAGGAATCCCACATATGGAATCCCCAAGCAGATAAATTCCCATGTTTTAACACTGGGAACACCCGATTCCAACGTCGCTGGTGTTGTTTGCAAAGGCGAGATCCTAGCGAATCCACCTTGTCTTGTCGTTTGTAGTCTTGTGGGTTATGACGCCATGGAGTCTTATTAATACGAAGTCCTTGCAAAATTTGTTTGTCACGAACCTCCTCTGGGAACATGGGCTTAATCTGCACAGGGAACATCTCGAGTCTGTATCCGAAGGCACTCCCATGCAGTAAGGACCAACGCACGAAGTTTCTGCACTGTCATTCACCAAACATAATTTAGTATGAAGTTATTTAATTGTTTCTATTTGTTTTCCTTTTGTTGTGTCTTTTCTTGATGCGGTGATGGCGTCTTCTTTTGTTTCTTCTGAACACACAACACGCAAATTTATCATTACCATCATCGCCATAATCATAATGATAATCGGTTTCCATTAGCGTAAGTGTGTGGTTCAGTAAATATAGAGAGATGCCCACATTAGCAGCTTCCCTCAGACACTTGCGTGACAACAGTATGACACCAAAAAATGTACCGTCATCAACGCAATCTCTTTGTTTACAATGAGAGGAACAATTGCTGCTTCCCCAGTGAGTACTGTGTTTCGTT